CGATGACCCGACCTAGAGGTCTCACTTCTTCTCCGCTAAACCCTACAAGTGGGGCGTTCGTTGGTTTCAGATCGCTCTACTATAGCCGCAACTTGTCGAAGGTTTCTTTGAAGAGGATATCATCCGAACTGCCTGAGTCCACCACGATCCGCTTCACTTCGAAGTCATTGATAACCATTTTCACGACCAGGGCGTCGTCATGAGGATACTGGATCGCGCGAGCATCGTCCTCGGTAAAGTAGATGGGTTCTTCAATCCAAGGTCACTTGGGCGGGTTCTCTGCATTGTGTTCTCATTCTCGGACAAAAGCTTTGTCGGCTACTGCCGAGCACCCCGCTACAATGGATCCTTCAGTGATCATAGTGATCACTCCGCAGATCGGTCTCTCTTCTGTAGCGGGCAAGGTGGTTGCTCATTCTGTTTGCTGCTTTCTAGGCATCTTTCTTCTGATCTCCCTATCGGTCCCCCTGTCCTTTTTCCTCGTGCAAGATGTACTTCCTCAAGTACCCACGGCAAATTAGCTCTTCGATCTCGTCGTGAAGGTTTCTACAGTTTTCTATGTTGTGATCATGGTCCCGATGAAAGTGACAATAGACGTTCGGGTTCTTGGTCACTAGGTCTCCCCGTAGCCTGGATGTCCATCTGACGATGGAGGAATCTTTAATGGCAATCAAGATCTCTCATCGCTTCGCGTTAAGGGGAGTATAATTAGTTCTCTCCACTAGGGGGTCCTGGAACACCGACCCGACCTATAACTCCGTGAAGGGACTTACTCCTCGAGCTTGGGGACTTGCTTCTTCACTTTGGAGACTTACACATTTTCCTTTTTTTTGTTATCCGTTCCTTCTTCCTCTCTCTTCCTCCTCTCACCATGCTGGTTGTCAATTTTCTGGTTTATTTCCTCTTCTGTACTAATGAATTAATCGGCCAGCTTGAGGAACTTGGTGATGTTCTTCGGTTTATTTGCAATGACGTGCCACTTGAATTCCTTGTGAGTGATTCCTTTTCACACTGCGGTGAGATGCAGTGTTGGGTCAACGTCTGGTATCTACAAGTATGTCTTGTTGAAGCGCTTGATGTAGGTTCGAATTGATTCTCCTTCCCTCTACACCACATTCAGAAGGCTCTCTTGTGACTTCGAGCACTTCTTACTGGTGATGAAGTGGGTCGTAAACATGTCTGCGAAATGCATCCAGCTTCTGATGGAACCGGGCACGAGGTTTCTATACCAGGTCCGAACTACTCCTCTGAATGTGGTGGAGAAAGCCACGCACATTGTACTTGTCTAGCGGTGGTACCTTGAAATCTTTCGGCATTGGGGCCGCCAGGAGCTCGGGTGACAGGGGGGATGGCTGGCTCAACAGAGTAGGCGTTGTTCTTGTGGCCACCGAGCTCACCTCCTATCTTTCTCGACCTTGATTCGCTGGATGGCTGGGCTTCGCTGGTGGATTGTTCCTTGCTGATGAACGGCGAGTCTTGCAACGTTGCCACTGCTGCTTCTTTGGTGGTGCAGCGTTTGTACTGCCAGCCTCAATATTGTCAAGTACCTCGATCTTACTCCAAATGGTAGGGAAAGGTGGTTCACGGGTTCTCCTCGCTGCGTGTTCTGTGCTAGCTGTCGCGGGGAGCCGAGGGATCTCCTCTTGAGCCCGCACCTCAGGCCCTAAGCTGACGATCCAGATTACCTTGAGGTGGAACTTACTAACTACGCCTCTCGAGCTAGCTTGGCTCGGGCCTATCCCTCGAGCTCTCTCCGGGAAGTAGGGGGAGTACGTCGGTCGCCTACTGTACCCCACAGCGGGGTCCGTCCCATGGGAGGAACCAATACCTGCGAAGTTCTCTCACCGAGGGGAGGGGACTAGTGGACGTTCTGATGAGCCCAGTGAGGATTCTAGTTCTGAGTCTACCCTTGATGATGATTTTGCCAGCTGGTTCGATTGCAACGGTGGGAACTGTTGTTGGTTCTGTTTATAGAATTAGTACTGCTAAAACAGCTAGAATTGATGGATCTACTACATTTGAATCTGCATCATTTGGACACTCTGGACGAGGTCGTTGAACTGGGAGTGCCCAACCCCGGGGGGTCACGGAAGGCTCCGAGAATTTGGCGTTCACTTGGGGGAGCAAGACACTCACCCGTTGGGTAGTGTGTGGCACAGACAATGATGGAACCCCAGAGATAGTTAGGGGAATGGTAAACTAGCCGATAGTCACCGAGGAACCCTGGGGAGTGATTGTTTGCTACTCTTTCCCCCAGTGATGTTCATGCTGCTCTTTCTATTGTGGTTGGATGATGACATTGATGTTGAGATTGAGACTGAGATTGCATGATCTGAAAGCTCCTAGCTGGAAGGTTGCCTAGACGTGGTCATGTGGCGAGCTAGATCAATACTACAAAACAAGGATCAGAGAGACCGGGGTGGATGACCCGGTGCGATCGCTCCGATGCTTAAGTTAGTATTCTTGCTTTGGTTGCGAGCTAAAGTTTGAATGCTAGAGAGCTTGAATGTAAGTAATCGCATGTACTTGGGCCCTAGAAGGGTTGATGCCTTTATATAGCTGAGCTACCGTGGGTCTCACAAAACGGTTCCGGGATCTTTGGCCTAAGTAGATGAGATCCATTTCTGCTTTAACCGAGGAGTAATGCATCAGTCAATGAAGCTTATCGTTACCGCCCGATCCAGGCAGGGAGAGGATAAGGCCTACCATTATGCGGCATGATTCCAGGAGGTTCGAAGTCTGTTGAGAAGCTTCTGGAGTTGATTACGTGTCACTTCAATTCCTAGGCCCCGAATTGCCTTAGGTGCCGAGGTGCCTCTATACCAAGGTGACTCTTATGCCAAGGCGGCTTTTATGCCGAGGTGGATTTGAACCAAGGTGGCTTTGTGTCGAGGTGGATTTGTACCGAGGTAACCGAGCACCCAAGCTCTAAAAACTGCTGACTAGGCTCCTCTCGCTGAGTTGTCATCCTACGAGCAGATCGCGTCCACATGACCTTTGCTTACTAGGTCGTGCCAAATTACCCCCCATCAATTACAAAACAGTTGAATTTGACATTAATAGGCATTTTTAATTCTGAGTGTAGTTTTACACACATGTTAATTCCAAATACAAATAAAAAATACTCTCATGATTTACACTAATCTTCCAAATGCACAACAGTGTAAAACTAAACATTGACTGATTCAACTTTTGTGATGATACATCTGGCCGTTTTTCATTTACATTGGTGTAATTTTGTATTTACACGGATAACAAACACAGCCTAAACGATTGTTGAATTAGAGATGGTACAATTAAACCAGGGGTTGAGGAGAGGGGGTCCGGATGTAATAGACACGTTAGGTAAGCACAATGAGTGAACACGTAATAGCTGTGTGACACACGTGCCAGTTAATATGTCTTTCATCCAAACGTTTTTACTCCATTAGACATGAATTATATATTATTTTATTATCTTCATCAAAATAATTAAAAATAAAAACAATGAAAAATGAAAACTTAAATGTGTTAGGAATTGGGACTCGTTTACGTTTTTCTTTTTCAGTGTTTTTTTATTTTTAATTATTTCGATAAAAATAATAAAATAATAGATAATTTTTGTTCTAACGGAAAAAAAACGTTTGGATAAAAGAAACATTAACCTGGACATGTATTAGACAGCCATTTCATGCGGTACTACATCCGGACGCGAGGAGAGGAGAGGAGGGAAAGTGTACTGCACAGACGTACTACAACCATCACCATTCCAAAGAAGATAGAGACGGAAAGTCTTGAACAAAAATATCACTACACCCGTCCACCAAGGAAACCTTTTGAGCCATATATCAATCCTTACTCAGTAGGGCCCCGTTGATGGTGTGGCCGTGACTTCTCTTTGTTATAATCTATAAATTCTACGAACGTATATGCATCTCAAGTCAAAATGGTTCTGAGTAGTACTTGCATGTGTACTACATTGAATTCTTCCCAGCATCGCTCGTACATATAAATTCATCCTCTCCCTCTCCCTTGGCTTTGACATATATTTAGTGCTCCTCGGTGCGGAGAACTGGGATTTGGCCGCCCCTTGGAGTAAGTAGCCACAGTTTGATATTAGTCGGCCCATATAATCCCAACTGGCCAACTCCATGATCGATCGGTAAATACATGAAGAAGCGTCAACAACCTTCATTAGAAGAGTTGAATTACTTAATTTGCTGGGTGCTTATCAGGTATGATCGAATTGCATATTTCATCACCTCACCTCTTCCCTCAGCTTCAATCTTTACTGCCGAACCTCTCTTTGTTTTTTAGCTCCTCGTCAAATGAAACAGGCTAAAGCTAGCATCCTTATTCCATCATATCTCTTTGATGAATTAGGCTAATAGATTAATCCCTCCATCTCTTTAATCCACATAATTAATGTCATATGTGGTTTTATTTATTTTGAATTTTTCTTTTCAAGATTCTCTCCTGCTAACTTGGACCCTTGCGCGTGATCAAAATCAAACCCGGGTAAGTGGGTAACTGCAGTGCAGTCTCTCCGTGGAAATAAAATCGGTGGACCTCACGTGTACGGTGCACCCTGCCGGCCACCCCTACCCTAAATCCACTGTAATGTTGAACAAAGGGAAATTGTCTAAAACAGTAAAACGTACCATTACTTCTCGTTCAGTCGTTGTTTGGCATCGATGCTGGTGCTCGGAATATTGCACCCTTTTCTTAGAAAAACGGTGTTGCGCATGTAATAAATAACACTGGTTTTGTTTGATTTGCTCTATACATGTGCGTTGTGACGAGAGAACAGCATCGATGCCAAACATCCACTAAAATCATCATAACTTTTTTAAAATCGTTCAGGAAACATTGTCAGAAGTTACGTAATATAAATACACAGTGGAGGGTCCTCTTTTTCTTTGTTTGATTTGAATAAGTCTTAAAATTTTTTAGAGTGAAAAGTGATGGTGAGTTTTAAACAATTTCCAAAAGAAATTACCGAAACTACAGAAGGAATCGAGTAAAGAAAATTTTTCTCCTGTTTATTCCTTCAACAAAATATTAAGCATTGGAGTCGTTGACTACAGAGGCAACCACCTCCGGTAGTTCTTTCTCCGGTTACACATCTTAGGAGTACTCCACGTCGTGATCCACCAAAAACCTAAACTGGAACTGGGATGGATGCTGCTTCAAACTTATTCAAAAAGGCAAAGGGGGAAAATACAATAAATTGAAACAAACAAAAGGAGGATTCCTACACGCAGTAACAAATCACGAAGCGAACACTATCTTGATCCCACCAATGGTGACAAGGTCCCCTCCAATCCTTGGTACTATAGTCACCACCACCTCGTCGTCATCTTCGGCTTCCAAATCCTCCAGCAATTCCGAGATACCGAATCTCAGGCACGTCTTAAGCTTGCTCATCTTCTTCCCGTGCTTGTGGGGAACATTCACAAAGCTCCCGGCGAACTCACTCTTATCCGGGCTTGGCTCGTCCTCGTCGTTGATGTAGACGTCGAACTTCACCACCGTGTCCCTCTCCAACTCTACTTGGTCTATTACCAATATCTCCTCTTCGTCCTCCTTCTCTTTCTTGCTCCTCGATTTCCTCGGCCTCTTCACCACTACCTTGAATGGCGCATCAAGTTCTTTGGGGAACTCACTGACGGTTGGCTTCTTCTTCTTCAACCCCCTATCCGTAATCTTCAGTTTCTGAGCAGCTGCCATGAGTTTACCAGGCGTGGGCCTCGTCTTCATCCATGGAATCTCCACGTCCTGATACGAGTACCGGAGTTTCTTCTCGTCCAGGCAGTCCCGAACCTTAACTCTCACCAGCTGCTTGTTCTCGTCGTACAACAGGAAGCCCGCGTTCAGCCAGTCGGGGTCTTTGAAATCCTTTCTCCTTCCTCCCAGCTTTTTCCATATTGTCCACATCCGGTCGACGTTGGAGTGGTGGGCATAGAAGATGGGGTCTCGGGCAGCCGAGTAAAAGTTGCCCATATTCTCTATATTAGGCTGGGTACGATCACCGGCCCATAGATGAACCGGTCCATGTGGAACGTTCTCAAGCGACCCGAAACCAGGGTCGGGTTGGTCTCCGGCACGGTACGGCGATCCAAGGAAGAGCTGCGCCGTCGAGCCATTGGACACCACTTGCCGGTACATGGTGGCGAGATTGTTCTTCAGTAGTTGCTCAGGAGTCATCGTGGTGTCTTGTACATTGTAGTTGAGATCGATCATCGTCGGTGGCTGGTGCTTGGCATCGCGGAGTTTGTCGTAGAGAGGGGAGTTAGGGTTGGCGTACATGGTTGGCATTTTCATGCCGGCGGGAGCATCCCAGTTCCAGTAAGGCAACGCAAATGTGGGGTCGTCGATCAACTTGCCCAACATCCTCTCGTAGAAGTAGAGATAGTAGCGGTGGAATGGGAAAAACAGCCACGAGTTGTGCACTTGTAATTCCAGGTCCGGGAAACCAATCTGGTCATAAGCTCCATCGCAGTAAGCGCAGTGAACATTGGCCTGTTGCGTGAAGTTACGTGGGTCGTCGGCGGGGAGAGCCTTCATGAGGGCAATGGCCTTGGAGTACTTGGCGATATACTCTTCGTCCACCATGTGAGCAGCTGGTCTGACGCGCATGGGTTCCGATGAGGATGGCAGCTTGAAGTCAACAATTTCCGAACTGGCAGGCGGGCAGCAGTTGGTGGGCTTTGCGCCGGCGGGCAGGTTGGCTGCTCCGCACTTACTTAGGTCCGGGGGCATGATCGGAGCCCCAAATGCCAATCGATCAGCACCGAGGCCGGTGGCACCGTACAAGCCTCCTAAACCAATAAGCACATTCCTCCTGTCCAACCTCCCGAGAGATCCCTCTTCATTCCCCGATCTGGTTGGTTTCTTTTCTCCATCGGTAGCTTCACATGAGACCTTACGAACCATTCGGTAACGACGCTTGCCGACTATGGGGACCTGAGACCTCCTCTGGTTGAAGGGGCACAGAGAGGTGGAGGCATTAGAACTGCTAGCGGGAGTAAGAAGGGTGTGATTCAAGGGAGAAAGCGATGCCATTATGCTTAGTTGGAACTTAGGCCGAAGTAGATGAAGGATGAGAGGAGTAGAGGACCTCCTCCGTTTTTATAATGGACTAGTATAGCCACCATTCACTATCCGACAAAAGCTTGGAGATAAGAAACCGAATCCACGAGGAAAAGAAGATAAGCCATAAGCGAGAGCCTAGTTAGTCTGTAATGACTTACAGGCCTTATTAGACTTTTATTCACTCACTCTAAGATCATTGACCAATCTAACCAGCTGGTTTCGTATATCATTAATATTTCGTATTTGTCCATTGACTTAGTCGCCCGCGGTGGCGCGGTTAAATAAATTAATTTCGTTGAGAGATGGCCACCTCGATTTTAAGTTACGGATCGTCCATTCTTTATTGGGGCTCTCCACTTAGAGACAGTAGAACAGGCCGTGTTGGTGAAGGGTGATGGTCCGGCGGCAACACCACATCCAAACCACTTCGTTATCTAGGAATCCACTTGTTCGGTGGATGACAGAGCACAAGTCTACTCTGCGACCAGTCAAGTACTCAGGGTTTGCAACTTTTAATTAAAGGTGGGGTCGTACGAATAAATAGGCTTTGATTTTTCAACGCAGCCCTACGATAATATTGTAGCCAATGTGAAAAGCGTCCTCAATATTCAATAAATAACAGTTATAGGGTAAAATACAAAAGCCTTCCTTTTAAGTTCCTGACAATCAGAAAAAATTTTCTTATAGTTTCATTTTAATAAATATCTTTCTTAAATTTTTGAGAAATTCAACAAAAATCTCCCTTTTGTTACTGTTCCAGACAGAAAACTGTTAGATTGATGCATCAATTTTTTTCTAAGTGCCCATTCTATCCTTTTAAAAATAATTTTATATACAAAATTATTGAAATAATCCCATTTTAACTCAATAAAAACCTTTTTTAATGATCATTTCAGTAATTTTACATACAAAATTATTAAAATATATTTTTTTTGTTGAGCTAAAATGGGATTATTTCAGTAATTTTGTATGTAAAATAATCTATAAAATGATAGAATGGATAATTGGAAAAAACTGGGGGATTCATCTAACGCTTTTTGTCTCGAACAGTGACGGAAGGGAGGTTTTTGTTGAGTTTCTCAAAAATTCAGGGGAGGTATTTGTTAAAATAAAACTATAGGAGAGATTTTTATGATTGTCAAAAACTTTAAGGAATTTTTTTTTTTTATTATTTTACCCTAATTAATATCCAATTGCGTAAATTTGCAAATATGCCATCACTGTAGTATGTACCATGAATTTATCCAGGAAGTGTCTCGGTCAAAATGTTGAGGGTAATTTTGTCCATTCATCTTAAATTCTTTAATTCCATTATTGTTCATGTCTTAATTTTGTCCAACCATCTTGGTAGAATGAGGTAGCCATTTATTTTACCAACTTTGCACCAATATGTTAACAAAAAGAGTACTAAGCCCTATGCATGGCTGCAGAGATAACAGAGCAATACTTCAAAATGGATCGGATCGGATGGTAAAGGTTATAACCGCTCCAATCGGATCGATTCAAATTTCGTAAAAAAATCCATTCGATTCTCAAGATTATGATTCAAATTTGAATTTAAATATTTTATCAAATATCCGCTTTTTTTTTAGAATAATATCCAATTTGATTAGAATTGTAATAAAAAACTTAATAATTTAATATAACATAATTGATATATAGAATACATATAAAATTTACATAAATAATATATAACATATAATAGTTCATAACTAATGAATCAGATGGAGGCATATTACTAAATAGACTGACTTTCATGGTTCGATCAAGATGAAGGGAGGTATCCGAATCTCGCTCTTACAAATTAGATTTGAATCAGGATCCGAGCCCCAATTCTTTTACTTAAATGTGTAGGTTTGCAGGCGTCTACTAATTAACTCATGCACTTCATGGGTTGTTCTTGCTATATTATCAAATTCTATATATATGAATGCTTCTAATAGTAAGAGCTGAACATGAAAAACAAATTAAAAGAAAGGTTGCAAAAGATGGAAACACCCTCTCCACTACTCTACTACTCTGGAGTTTAGTCACCCAAATTCCAAAAGATATTAATAAAAAATAGATTAAAAATATAAAGGCTTCGAGAGAAGTAACTAAACCCAAAGGTCTTCTTCTACCAAATCCATTTACAGATTAAGCCATCTCTAATAGGCCGGCCTGAGAATATAGACGATGGTATATAACTGATATCTAAATCTCCTTGAAAATAAAAAATAAGGATAAGGATTTAGAAAATTTATATTAAATAAAGTTGGAGACAATGCCATATCATGTAGTGCTAGAGCTAGGTCAAAGAAAACATTAATTAGGATAGTACAAAACAGATTATATGAAACTGGACAATTTGATAATGAATGCATAAAAAGATATTCAAAAGGAAAAGAAAAGGTTGAAAAGTAGGGGAGAAAAGGTCATCTGTGGATTTTTTTTTTTATATTGATCCTTTATCATCTACTACAGTATGGTCTCACATGGCGGAGATAGTTGAATATTTTCTTTCCTGGAAATTTTGTGTGATATATGGCCCACTAAACTTATTGCGTAGTGCATGCCCAGCCTATTAAGGTCGGCACAAGGTACAAGGGAGTTCAGATCTGCTACCAACTATCCTCATGAATGACAAGGGAGATAGTTCCATGTGCGGCCTGTTGGGTTATTGTTGGGGCTTGGGAGGGCTGTACTGATAACACATCTATACCCGGTACAAGGTAGGGAAAACTGCCCATTCTTGTTAAGGCTCGTTTGGAAAGATTGAGACGAAGGTTCCATTAAGCTGGTTCAGATGTTTTGTACCACTATAAATAAACTATTCAAAACAGCCCTTCAAATGACTGACGGATAGTTCATTTGGGTTCTCTTTGAATTTTTCATTAGACATCATTTACAGGCTATTCGGATAAAACCTACAAAACCAGCAGGAAGCCATTCCACTTCAGCCCTCCCAAACGAGAGCACACAGGATGAAAGGATGGGTCGCAGAAAGATAATCTAGTTATTCTGTCTTCAAAACTTAAAGCAAATTAACGAACATATATACCATGTAATATCACAGGAACGGCTCTAACAAAATCGAAGTTTTTTCTTTTTTTGGTGAGCTGACAGAGCCAAAAGGCTCACGGTGTTTATATGTGGCCAGATTGCAATAATATCAACGCCCATGGCCCATACCGGCCATCCCCCGTCGGCCCGTCCCATAAGAATTTAAGAGCAATAAATGAGGTGTAGGACAGGACAAAATTTTACACTACTACCGAATCTTTCATGGAAACAAAAGTTTTCCAACCTAGGTTGTGTTTGGTTGCAATGCAAATTTATTTGTACTAGTATAAATGCATACAAGTGCAAGTGTAAAACATGCATTTTTTTGTTTAATTTTGTTTTAGATTTTACTTTAGTCTGCTTTATGTCTTAACTTACTTCATTTGTATAATAATTAGGGGTGTAAACGGATCGAATTCAAATTGGATCAGGCAATATCCGAACTTGAATCCGATTAGAAAATCCAATATTTGAAGATATCTGACAGATATTGAAAATTAATATCCGAATTCGAATCCAGTTAAATATTCAAATATTCGATTCGATTAATTAATTATTTTAGATAATTAATAAATATTTTTATTGATATAAAGTATATAAATATATAAATTATTTATATAACTTAATTATTATATAAATCATATAAAATATTTTATATATTATATAAGAATTAAATAACCGGTCGAATTCGGATTTTTATCGAATCAAATCAGGTCATATCCAAATTTGAATCCGATTAACTATTCGGTAAGAATAGGATATCCGAATTCGACCGATTAAATATTCGAATTAACCGAATTCAATTCAATTATGTCGAATATCGAATTTGAATTCGGACTTTCGAATACCGATGACACCCCTAACTGTAATCAAAAAAATAAGCTAAAATTTGAAATAAAAATATATAGGTCAGAATTTACACTCAAATCATTTGCACTACGATGGTTTTGCATCAGTGCAAATTTATTTGCATAGCAACCAATTGAAGCCTTAGTAATAAAATATGGAGTTGAAGTTCTTAGAGTAGCTAAAGGTTCCATCTTTAGAACATTATTTATTCTCAATCATTAAAATGAATTTGTCATTGGGTAAATTCATTCTCAAGATACAATAGAGCTTTAGTAACCAATAAAATTAAAAAAATTTCCATAAAACAACAATAATTCAAATCGAGTGAGATAAGTGAAGAAGACAAATTATGTGTAGAAAAATGAGTTACACCTTTTTTGATACATAGGTTAAACATATGTAAGACAGAACCCAAGGGCAGTTATCTCTAAGCTTAAGAAAAACAGAATGCCCTATATTTGCAAGCCAGTCCATCGTTTGGTTTCCTTTTCTCCAAATGTGGGAGTAGGGGTGTCAATGGACCGGTTTTGGGTTGGATTCCATCCAAATCAAAATTCATTTGGATGGATTGGACGAACCAATAAGACATATTGGATTGGACCTGGTCCGTCCATAACAAATTTATATTAATTTAAGCCAGTTTCTAATCCATTGATAGAAAATTAGAACATAGGTGTCAATGGACCAGGTTTGAATTGAGACCAATCTAAATTAGCAGGAATTTGAACAGATTGAACAGTGTCTGGACTGATCCAAAAGGGTCCAAAATATTCATTGGACTGGATTGGACCAGGTTCATTTGTAATGGACTCACATTGGACTGGACCGGATTGGACCAAATCCAGTCCAATTGGCACCCCTATGTGAGAGTAGGCAATGTGCAGATTATTGTCAATATTCTTGATTTTTTTTACATTCCCTAACTAGAGCAGATAATCTCTAAGGAGGTTGATCACTTTCAAGGAGGCAATCAATACCCAATAGTTAGCTTTGAGTCTTCGTTGCTAAACAAGCTTTATAGATTCTAGAGAGTAACTTTAAAAATTTTAAGTCTACGCGAGGTTTCTTGTACAACTACAAATTTAAATCAAGGTAAATTACAAAAACTTCCCTATACCATTGGGTCAGTGACAAC